ACATGCCTACATATCTGACACAGGTAACAGCTTGTGTGTTTCTTTTGAATTATGTGTTTTGTTTCATTTCTGTAAACCTGTAAGCTCTTCTAGTCCTTCCCTGCATGTTTTTTTTATTTCACCTCCTTGCTCCACACATCTGCATGTTTGTCTCACTCCACAGTCATTTCTTTTATTCCATTACCTTCACTGTTTTATGTTCTTCCTTTTCTTCCTTTTTTCTCTCTTCTTTAATATTTCCACATTTATTCTTTTTATTTGCTTCTCTACCCTCACACACTTTCCACCTGCAACAATTCTTTTCCAACTTTTTTTCCCCCCTTTCATCAACCGGTCCTCCATCCTCAATTCACACTCATTTTTTTGGGGGGGGGTACATATTACGGGGCGGGGTAGCTGATGCTTGTCTTCCCGGCTTCTGGGGTGCCACAGGGGTTTGCAACGATCACGGTAAGACCTACGCACTTTACACCATCACCGTGTTCAGACGGAACCAAGACGGCAGCGAGGACTGCTGGAAGACCTACCGCCGCTACTCCGACTTTCACGACTTCCACATGAGAATCACAGAACAGGTGATTTCAAATGATTTATTTAAAAATAACGCAGCAGCTCGTGCCTTTTTTTTCTTCTTTATCTTCACCTTTATAAACCTGGTGTGTGTGTGTGTGTGTGTGTGTGTGTGTGTGTGTGTGTGTGTGTGTGTGTGTGTGTGTTCGGTTTTAGTTTGAGAACCTGTCAGCGATCCTCAAGCTTCCAGGAAAGAAAACCTTCAACAATATGGACAGAGATTTTTTGGAGAAAAGAAAAAAGGACCTCAATGCTTACCTTCAGGTAAAAGCTTCGTGCTTCTGTAGCTTAGTTGTTAGTTTTCTGTTGTGTGTCCGTGACTTAATGTGTGTTTTTCAGTTGCTGCTAAACCCAGAAATGGTGAAGGGCTGCCCCAATCTGATTCCTCATGTCTACGACTTCCTGGAGAACAAAGCCTACAGCAAGGGCAAAGGAGAGTTTGCACGAAAGGTCTTTGATTTTTATTTATAATTTATTTATTTATGCTGCAAAAACAACTACAAGCATTAAGTTTAGTGCAGTTTTAAACAGATTTTATCAAACTAAATTTTTGTTTGGTTTTCGTTTCTCCTCCTTCAGATAGACACGTTTGTGAACCCTCTGCGGAGCTCCATGAGGAACATGTCCAATGCAGTAAAATCCCTGCCGGACAGTCTGGCTGAGGGGATGAACAACATGGGCCGGATGTCAGAACGGCTGGGTCAGGACATCAAACAATCCATCCTCAAGGTGGGTTTAATGTTTCTTTTTCTACACTGGTCTAAATGACAGGGTTCAAACGGGGACTTGAAATTCTTCACAATAATTTAATTTRACTGTGGGGAAAAGTGTACGAACCCTGGAATGACTTCTCTGCTTAATTAAAAAAATGTGTTTTATATGAATAATTGTCATTAAGCACAACATTTAATTATTGTATGGATTTGTTGTTCCAGGTGCCTCCACTCCTTCCTAAATCTGATATAGATCCAGAACACTGTCGAGTCTCAGCCCAGCTGGATGACAACGTGAGTCTGCAGCCTCATTGATTCCACGTTTATTTCTACTTCTTCATTTATTTATTTATTTTTTCTGTCAAACCGTCTCTTTTGTGTCCAGGTGGATGATAACATCCCGCTGCGGGTGATGCTGCTGCTGATGGACGAGGTGTTCGATCTGAAGGAGAAGAACCAGTGGCTGCGCAGGAACATTAAAAACCTGCTGCAGCAGCTCATCAGAGCMACTTATGGAGACACGATCAACAGGTCAGACTCTCGCAAAGAGATCTAAATAACCAGCTTCACAGTAAAAAACACAACGTTTAGTTCTTTTTTGTTTTGGTTCTGAAGGAAAATCGTGGATCACGTGGACTACTTGACGTCACCAGAGCAGGTGGCAGACTACGTGAAGAGGTTCAGGTAACTGGGGTGGTATTTTGCTTGTAAGTGTTTGATTAGGAATCTAATGTGACTGTTTTTATTCCTGCTCAGGGATTCCTATTGGCCCAGTGGGATTCTAGCTGAAACGCCGTTGCGCCGGGACAAGTGCATCCGCATGAGGACACGAGTAGCTGCCAAGACGAGTCTGTTGGGCATCATGCCAGGTCAATATATACATTTTATACAACTGGTTCTCCTCATCCTGTGTATAAATCCCTCAGCTTTTTGCTGTGTCAGTCATTGTTCTTACTTTCTCTGCTTCAGATGAGCTGAAACACATCATCGGAGCAGACACTACAAGGAAGGGCATCCTTCGAGTCTTTGACATGTTTCAGTACCAGCCCATGAACCGGCGACTCGTCTACGTGTTCTTAGAGGGCTTCCTGGAGACCATGTTCCCTCAGTACAAATTCCCCGAGCTCTTCGTCAAGCTGCACTCTCGCTCCCCTCGGATCCACAAGTTCAGCCAGAAACTCAAAGGCTCCTCGCTCAAGAGGTGACAGGAAGGGACGGCGGCGTCGGGACACGGGCCGACCGGACACGCTGAGACTTGAGAGCTGAACGTGTGCGGAGGGGGTGTTGGGGATTGACGTGAACGCTGCCCACGCTCTCTCCCCTCGCACACTCCTGTCAGTGGAAACACACACTCCCAACATCATTTCCACCAGGAGCGAGCCGAAGCACGAGCAGCTCGGCCGTGCTCACTGTGTGACAGACTCGAGCAGAACCCTATCATTTGCACCAAGACTGAACATGGCAGTCTTTTCTTTTAGTTTCTCTCTCACCACCCATTTATGGACCTTTTTGTTGCTTTGAGCTTTATCTTTAACCAGCCAATACTGCTTTTTTATTATTATTTTGTGGTTTTAAACTCCAGGACTTAGTCTAATCCCACACCTTGCCTTACCCTCCTGCTTCAGTCCTATAGAGCCATCCAGCTGCAATCAAAACGTACCTGTTCTCAACCAAAAATGTCATAAGCACTGGGTTTAAAAGGCCTTGAAATGTGACTGAAATAAAGCAGGATGAAATATTTWAGTTCCTGCTTCTTCTGATTCTCCAGTGTTTCACATTTTGTACCTAACAGACCCCCTTTAATTCTACTGCCCTAACCTGTGACAACCAAAGCTCGTGCTGTTCGTTTGTCCCTGTGGAGACTCATGTAGCACTGAGATTGCTGATCATGTGACGGAGGAGACCTTTAATGAGCTAAAAGACTCGGCTGTGGGAGGCACAGTGTGGACTGTACCCTCTGGTCTGCTCTGCAGAAGATTGTTGCAACTGGAGGTTGTAGTCAAGATTACAACCATCCTCAGTGAGTCACTGTGCCAGTGCCAGCCTTAAATCTTAGCGTATACCGACCAAGAGATGCACACTAGAGGGCGATCTCCTTCAGTGTTTGAACAAGGAAATCATTTATATCCCTAATCACGTTGGTTTTGATTTGGTGCAATATATTATTTTTCTTTAATGCATGTGCGTTCTGATTCTTTGTGTATTAAAAATAGAAATTAATTGTTTTAAAGGAGGAAGAAACCTAAAAGATGTCCACCCTGGAGTTTTTTTTTTCCCTTATACCCCCAGTAACTTCACATTCCGTTATTGCAAAGGTTTACTTTATAGACTTGTTTTATAAGTCTGTGTTTTGGAGGGTATTTTGCACATGCACACTCTTGCAGGGTGTGTTGATTAAGCAGTGGTTGGGGGAGTTTTTTTGTCACAGCTCAATTATTAGGTTTTTTTTTTTTAAACACGTGTGGAGTTTTATCCATTCAGGACTGTCGTATTCAGTGGAGGGGGGAAAAACAATTAACTGACAGAGACCCTCTCTCCAACCTGAACTGTGTGCCCCTTCAAGTTCCTTAAAGTCATAAATCCATCGACTCCCTGCTAATTAGCACTTACTGTAGCAGCTGAGTCCGGCTTCGATTGGCTGACCATGCTTGTCAGGGAGCCCGTTGACTGTTGTCATTCAGATGCACTGAGCAGCAGTGGAGTCTGATTGGCTGAGCTGGAAGACATGAACTCTATGTGGGAAGTGAAACTGTCGCCCCCATGATGGAGATGTCACCTTCAACTTTCTGCTACCCTCTCCACGCAGGAAGTTTTTAAAAACCTCAGTATATATATACATATATAAATCTATGATACTGAAAAGAATTTGTGCATATGTGTACATTATGTGTTAATAGTGTGCCTAAATGTACTTTCAACTCTATTTTCATATTTTTATTTACCCAAACAAGTCAAATGAGATGTCATGACCAAAAAAGAAAAAAAGGCTATAAGGGTTTGTTTTTTTTCTTGGCATCATGCTTAAACTTTTCCTTGTGAGCAGTTGTGCTCAAATCAGTATAACACTAATAAAAAGGTAACTCTTGACTAAAAAACAATCGTTTGCTGTCTTTATTGTTGTTTATTTTGGAATTCGTGCATCTAAGATGTTTAGCCAAAAAACAATTCATAGTGCTTTTACTGTTTGTGCCATTTATTTATTTTGGTTGACATATTAATTTGTCAAAGAACCATAACTTCCCACATTAATACCACAGCTGGCTTTACCCTCCTGCTGTCCTTGGGTCCAAATGAACCCATGAGGCCTAAAGTGCAGCAGGATCACAAACAAAAAAGTGTACAGCTACCACAAACCATGCCAAGAGGAAGAGTTCTTCAGATTTTTGTTTCCATATTAAATAATAGAAGCAGTCTCCACTAATGTGGCAAAGCTCAGCTACAAAATATCAACACATCAGATTTCTGCAGGTTTTCAGGATCAGTCTTGTCATCTCGTAGTTCTCATCACAATGTGCAGGTCTTCTTTCAAGACTTCTTCTCAATTTTCCCCACCGGGTCGTAGAGGATAACAGCTCCCAAAGAGACCAAAGCTGGTAAGGTGATCACAGTTGTGGAGTTGTTATTGTGAGACAGCGAGCAGCTCACTCAAAACGTACACAAGAGCTGTTTTTTTTTACTCACCGACTGCGAATGTAACCTGCGCCGCTGTCCCCGCGGTAGGACCCCTCATTTTAAGCGCCCTCCTGGTTTCAAAATAGACGTAAGCTGCGGCGGCGATCAAACCACCACCGGATAAGACTCTGCAGCTGAAACAGTCCAAAAATTTCTTAAAGGACTTTGTCGAGTCGGACTTTGGCGCTGCTGACATTGTAAACCAGCGCGTGTGCTAATGCTAACAGCTAAAAATAGTCTAGAAGCAAATGACTTTCTTGACAAACGACGCTGTATCTATGGACTAGAGTCTATTTGTGAAACCCGGTTAATTAAATCAGCAAAATGAAGGATAAAAAACCCGACCAATATTTGTTCTAACCCCTCTTACTCGAAGCAAGGAGAGGAAAGGTGAATTTGTCCAAGTACTTCCGGGTAACACACGTCTTACTTCCGATTTTGTTATTTTCAAAATAAAAGTGAAGTGCTATCCATGATGTAAACAGAGGGATGTAAACACGAAAAGATTCGGCCCGCGAGTGACCAAAGTTCGGCCCATCAATTGGTTCAATAATCTTTTAAGCCCAAAAGCCCGGTTTTCTACTTTAATTACTCTAAGATCTTTTAGTTAAACACAGACATGTTTGGTATCTACAGAAACAGGATCTTGGCTACAAGCTGGTCAAAATTATTTCTATGAACACTCAAGACAGTTAAAATTACAAGCAGTTGAATATAAAACTATAAAAGTGAAAATACAATTTGGCAAGTCAGAGATGTCAAAATATATTTTGTAGTAAATAAGAAGCATAATGTGTTTTTGTATTATTATCATTACTTTTAGGGATGTCCGATAATATCGGCCTGCAGATATTATCAGTCCGACATCTCTACATAGCTGTATCGGTTTTTATTCTGATAAAAGCTCTATAAATCATCACCTGAATTTGACCAAAATGTGTTAATAAATGCTTGTGGTCCAGAGACGTTCACCAGCACGCGATTGATGACATCATCAAACTGAACTATCTCAGGGAGAGCATGATCCAAACTATTGTTTAAGACAAAATGTTAAAAACAAATATGGCACTTTCCCCCTTAATATCAGTTAAATGGTTTTTGTTTTTGTTCATACAATATTTACTTATGGAATGCATCTAGTGAGGTAACAAAAAGCAGGCAAAATGTCCCTGACAGGAGATATGTGATGTCACCTTATTGGTTTGTAATATCGGTTAATATCAGAATTGGAAATTAAGTGTTGTACAATATCGGCATGTCGAAAGTCAGCAAAAAGTCAATATCGAGCATCTCTAATTACTTTTATTACATAGGGTTCTTTATGTTGTTTTCATAAAATACTTGGTTTATTTACATAATGACTTTAACTGCTGGATGTTTGGCCCCTCAGCTGTTGGCCTGCAGTAACTGTGGCCCCTGAAGAAATTCAGTTGCACAGCACTGAAGTAGACCAAGTAGACCGCACTCTGSTTGTACATTTTCGCAAGCAGTGTGTTTTCTTATCACCTATTGGGAAAAAAAAAAGGCATGTGATCAGTTCGCTGTTCTTTAACCAGGGAGCACTTCTGAGCTCCCAACCAGATGTTTAATAAACCAGCGAGAGTGACGAGATGTTACCGTTCGTTCTCTTTTTTGTCAACATTTGCCTCGGTCAGCCGGAGTCCGCTGTGGATTCGTACGTTGCGGCCGTGTACGAGCATAATTTGATCCTGAACCCGGAGCCTCACGTGCCTGTGTCCCGCCACGATGCCCTGCTGCACATGCAGAGAAACCTGGACGTGTATGAAAAGCAGGCTGGGCTGGCTGCACAACAAGTATGGACTGACAGGTTCCCAGTTAGAAAATACTTTGTTTTTGAGTCATTTTAATCATATTCTAGGCTGAACATTACAGAGACACTAACAGAAAGTAGATAAYATGAGGAAATTGCAACTTATTAGTTAGGATATTTGTTTGAAAATTTGTGAGTTTGAATTTGATGTCAGCAGATGAACCTGTTCCATGATTCTGTTCTCACACAGGGCGCTCAGATCCTTGTGTTTCCAGAAGACGGCATTCACGGGTTCAACTTCACCCGTTCATCCATCTATGGCTACTTGGAAACCATTCCTGACCCACAACAGGAGAGCTGGAACCCCTGCGCGGAGCCAGGCAGACACAACAACACTGAGGTCAGGTGTCCAACAAACATCTGGGGGGAGTGGGGGGGGGGTAGGTTCATTGGGAACACAAGCAGATAAAGTTAGTGATAGCAACAACTGCAAATACAAACACGTAAAGCAGGGCTCTCAAGTTTTGACCTGAGCTTGGAGTGAGATTTCGAGCTGCTGAACAGCTGTTGCCAACTCGTCAGTGAGAAAAGTTGCACTTTTTCCCCCAGAAAAAAAATTTATGAATTAGACACCATTTCCTGCATTCTGGTGTATTTTAACAGGCTGTTAAACAGGCACAAGTAAACACTTGGTGAGTATTCTATAGGTCAAGTGGAAGGAGTTCTCAAACATTTTGGGTCTGGGGACCCCTTACAAGAGTGAAAAAATCCAGGGAACCCCTCATAAAAGCCATGCTGTTTTAAAAATAATTTACTGTTATTTTAATCCCTGAATTCCATGGGAAYTGAAGAAAAGAGTCATTTGCAGCTGGGGTTGCTGCGTGAAGCTKCAGAAGTAGACTGCTAGAAGTAGCTGAGTATTTATCCAATTGTTTCTTAAAACCAAAAAAAGACCATTAAAAACATCAAAGTAAATCAATTATTGAATAATAGAGGTGCAAAAAGAAGAAGAAAAATATTGTATATCTGCCCCTGTTTAAAAAAACTTCCTCTAAGCACTAACATCATGTGAGGTCTTTGTTATAAATGTTGACCTGAAAACCTGCTTTAAAAATAGCCAGGTTATCCCTTTATTTAACGTGGCTCTGATGCTGATCCAGCTGTTTGCAGGTGATGTGAAGCACGTGCAGCGTATCCTCGTGAGAACAGTTTTTTTTAAACTATGATTAAAAACATWATTTGTTTGTACAATAGGTGGAAAGGATCGGTCTGAGCTGCAGGGTTGCCAACTTTAAAAAAAAAAAACACCTAAGAGTGGGCTGGGGGTGGGATAGGACGGAGGTGGTGGACAGCTCAGTTGTAGGGTTTGGTGGTGTTGGGGAGTTTTACCTGTTCCTGCATCCTGTTGGCTACATCCTGCACTAGAAACTGACAGTAATATCTACTTTATAAACCTGTCAACTTTAAAGGTTGAATATATCAATATTAAATATCTTCTTGATCAGATGTTATGTTTAGAGTAACTGTTTGATTCTACGAAAAACATTTTATGATTTATGTTCAGTCCAAAATGCTACAAGGTAAGTCAGACATTTTCCACTCAGGTCAGGAGAGGCTGAGGTTTAAATTCAGCCTGAGATCCTGGTTTGGAGGTCTTTAATCTGATCGCTCAACGGATGCAAGTGGAACCATAATTTTAACATGAATACCTGATTTTTAACATGATTAATTGATTTGCAGTAAAAAAAAACACTGTTTTTTTAATCAAAACCAGTGTGTGTGTGTGTGTGTGTGTGTGTGTGTGTGTGTGTATGTGTGTGTGTGTGTGTGTGTGTGTGTGTGTGTGTGTGTGTGTAGCCTGTGTGTTCACTGATACAAATAAAAACACAAATCAGTTTATAAAAGCTTATGAAACAAGAAGCTTTTCGTAAAAAACAAAGCAAATATTAAGAAAAAAAAACAACCTCCACAGTAGCTGGAACTGATTTTTGTTGGTCCTGCTGCCTCTCCTCCTCTTCCTCACCTGCCCCTTCCTCCTCCTCTTCACTTCTGTGACTGGAATCAAACTCCATGACTGACTCTGGTCTTTTCAGCTGCTAATAACAATAACGGCAACAATCATACAGTTATGGCACTTTTGCAAATAATTCAGTGTTGTAATACAAAAACATAAAAGCTCTACACACACAAACACACACACACAGTTGAGCCGGTAAAAATAGCAATACATTAATGTAGCAACAGAAGAAAACAGATTATCTTTTTTTCTATAAAGAAAATATGTATTTGTCTTGTCAATTTGGATTGATTTTAATGTTATTTAAGCAGGTGAAAGATTTCTGCAGGTATGGTGTAATACTTCTGATATGCTGTGTTTAATGTTCTGAGCCTTGAACACATTCAGAAATAATTGGGAGTGTGGCGTGAGAGCGTGTGAACTCTCAGATGTGTGTGTCTCACGCCCAAAGCGTGAGACTTGAGAGTCCTGTGTAAAGAGTAAAAACGGTTAATTTGTCCTCCAGCAGTCTAAGCCTGTAGCAGCATAAAGGAAAACCCAAGTCAACCCTAACTATAGGATTTACATCCCATTTGTTTTTATCACCCAGGTCCTCCAGAGGCTGAGCTGCATGGCCCGTCGCTTCAACCTCTACTTGGTGGCAAACATGGCTGATCTCCAACCCTGTCCCCCGAACACAGACCTGTCCCCAGCATGTCCTTCTGATGGGCGCTGGCAGTTCAACACCAACGTGGTTTTCAAGTGCTGAATTCATCTTTAATCAAAAAGAAAAAGAAAAAAAAGAAGCTTTCCTTAATGCTAACATTGTTTTATTTAATCACAGTTCTGATGGCCTGCTGGTGGCACGCTACCATAAACACAACCTCTACTTTGAGGCGTCCTTCGACACACCTCCACAGCCAGAAATCATCACATTTGAAACACCTTTCGCCGGGAGGTTTGGCCTCCACATCTGCTTCGACATCCTGTTCCGAGAACCGACAATAGCTCTTGTGGAAGAGGTCAAAAAAAAAACATACGTCTCCACACTAACTCAGTCAAAACATTTGACTTCATTTTCTGCTCTTTCAGGGTGTCCGACAGCTGATCTTCACCACGGCTTGGATGAACGAGCTCCCACTGCTGGACTCGGTTCAGTTTCAACGGGCGTTCAGCGCCGGCGCCAACGTSACTTTGCTGGCCGCCAACCTTCGGAAAGACCCACGCAGGATGACAGGAAGTGGCATCTACACCCCCTTTTCTGCCACCTACCACCACGCTAAGAGGGGAGACCCAGAGGAGGGTCGGCTGATCGTGGCCAGGGTGCCGGTCTTAGACCCACTGTGGGGGAGACGGAGCACGGACGTAGACGTGACTGGATCCGCACCAACAGTGGCTACGACCTCTGCGTACTGTCACACAGAGAGCTGYGCCGATCCTCCCGTTTACCGCACCTTCACGTCATCCATGATGCACGACCCGTTTAAATTTGTCCTCCTAAAAGAAACAGGAAGTGACCTCACGGTGTGCGACAGCCCCTTGTGTTGCCACCTTCAGTACAAGTGGACGGTACACAAACCCGAGGAGCTGTACGCACTGGGAGCATTCGCAGGAATGCACGTCGTGAACGGACGTTACGCCCTGCAGGTCAAAACCGACAAATACGGCTGCATGAAATAACTTTTCTACCATGTTGTATTTATCTGCCTCTCCATCTGCAGGTGTGCGYGGTGGTCCGCTGCGCAGACCTCGAGCCCAGCTCCTGCGGGCAGGTCGTTGAGGAGGCCGAGTCAAAGCTGGACTTCTCGTTGGAGGGGCGCTTCCAGACCAGATACGTGTACCCTTCGGTTCTGGCGAGCCGGATGGTCCTGGAGGAGCCCGAGAAGCTGGAGAAAAGCGCAGATGGGAGAGTGGCGATGAAACACTCGAGCGTGACCGGGGGCCTGGTCACGGCCTGTCTGTACGGACGAATGTACCACCTGGACGGTCYAGAAACACCGCCGGCAGAGTTTCATTAAATTTGGAGCATTTGCACAAACCTGCTAACAACTAATCAGGAATAACCATACACTGAAATGTGATTGAAATCATTAAAGGAGACATACGCATTTAAATCCTAAAAAACTGTAACGCTTTGGTCTGAATTCCACCCTATTGTAACTCCACAAGCCCCCCTTTCATCTCCTTTTCTGAGGTATGCAGATCAACTGTTTTAAGGCTGTCTCTTTAAACCCAAACAAGGTGCTTTATGACTCAGAGTCTTGGATACACAAACTAAATCAAAACAAATCTGTTTATTCATTTGTTACTTATTCTTTACAAACATTGCACCAAGTATCATCCAACCTCTGCCTGAAATTTGCATAATCCTAAAAAGGCAATATTTAGTAAGGTCTTTCTTAATCGCTCGCGCTCTCTCTTGGTCACACACTCACACACACAACCACACACACCGTGTCACTACTTTCCACCGTCTCCAGCACAGAAAACAATCATTAAATAGTTACAGCATTGCAAGATAACGATCACACAGGTCGTTTGTTCAGGTTCAAACAGCTGTACAGGAAATAGGTCTGACATCTACCTGCTGTCAGGATCAGCTCTTAAAAGACATAAATACAAAGAATTCATTAACGACTGGTGGCTTCGTAATCTACACATTATTAATGTTTCTGACAGTCATTAGTGTCTGCCACGACAGCTGAATGAGGAACTATAAATAAAAATAAAACAATTACAAGAAGGAAGAAAAAAAAGAACCTTAATCAGCTGGTCCCATTAGACCAGGGGTCTGCAACCTTTAYGATCAAAAGAGCCATTTGTGCTCCTTGTTTCACTAATAAAACGTGTCCGGAGCCGCAAAACAAACTGCAACTATGATTATCAACTGGTGGTCCGTGGACCTTTTCGAAGCTTTTTCAGAAACCTTTATGGTCAGTAGAAGTGTTATTATAAAACTAAAAAAATATTGTTATTATTATTATATTATTTAATATTATACACATCAGGACAAATAAAAAGAACATAGTCATGTAAACAAGAAAAATACTGTATAGTTTATATCAAATTTCATAAAAACTAGTACAACTGAATTATTTAGACATATTCTGTTTTTTCCCAATTCTTCTCATTATGTAGTCTTCAAATTATTTAAAGGTAATCCTGATGGGTTTGAGAGAATGATCATAGAAAGAAATTGGAATATTTAAGTAAACAGGCTAGCATGAGCTAACACATTTTACTTTTTGTATTAGGATTGATCACATATTTGCGTACAAATTGATTTCTGTTGTGAGTATAAAAACCAAAAGAAAATATTTTGTTATGTTTGGCCACATTTTCAAAAAGCCACTGCAGAGAGACCAAAGATCCACATGTGGCCCCAGAGCCGCAGGTTGCAGACCCCTGCATTAGACTGTCCTCCTGTTTCTTTAGACAATTGGGTTAAAAACCCTCCTCTGAGCCTTACATCACTCCTGTAAGAAACAGGTTAAAACCTTTGAAAAAGAATTAAAACCAGAGAGAATCCACAAACAGTACGATTAACTCTTAAAAGAAAATACTGTTTTAAATTTGAAAAGATAAAAGGTCGTGTTACTGACCATACAGTGCTGTCAGGGGAACTTTACACTTTCATTTACATTGTAGTGCAGATTTTTATCCCTAAATGGGTATGCACCTTAAGATAACAGGTATGTGGTTCATATAAAGGCTATTTTTAGATTTGAAGAGGCTTACCTAAAAATAACCTGCTCTATTTTCTCCACTTTGACGGTTATCTATTAAGGCTCCTGAGTGGCTGGCTAGCCCGCCAGATTTAGAGGTCTCTGTCTAGTCCTCAGTACGTCTCCGAGTCCGAGTCATTCAGTTCGTCGTCTGCAGAAATGGAGGACAGCGGCCGCTCGGGCCTGCAGTACGAGGCGTGCTCAGGCCTCAGAGCGGGTGGGGTATCGAAGGCCACGCCTTTGGAGATGTGGTTTGAGGTGGGGTGGTGGTTGATGACCGTCTGAGTGAGAGGCAGGGCGGGTAAGGCCGCTATCGTGACCATGGGGGAGGTGGGCATCATCGAGTTGAGGATGAGAGCCAAGCAGTCGGCCACGTCGCGGTTTGGAGCACAAGCTAAAGCTGGGGTGTAGCCTGGTAAATAAGGAAGAAAAAATAAAACAGGTCATATAACATGACTAGAACTAATAATTAGTGTGAGTCTGAAAGCTGACCGTTTTCATCCACTGCTAACACGCTGGCTCCTTTCCCCAGCAGCTCCTGGACGACTACAGTTAGTCCCATTCTGGCTGCTACGTGCAGAGGCCTGTGAGGGAGGGGGGGCACACAGTTAGAAGATGTCCAGTCAGGGGTGAGCGTCTATGTCCAGCTACGTACGTCTGGAGCGCAGTGTTGGTGCAGTTGATGAGGTTCTTGTCACCGATTTTCTCCAGAATCAACAAGGCACTCGTTTCGTGGCCCTGAAAGGAGCAGAGAGCGGCTTCGTGTGACTTTTACTCATGTTTGCACAAGTTTAGCACTATTTAAGCCAAYGAGCACACGTGGCCACGCCAGCTGGTGCATTTTTCTAAAAGTTTTAGGGAGTGGAGAAAAGTTGAACCAGCTGTGTGATTTTCTCCATCTGTTGCTCTGTAGCTATGACTTATCTGTGCAGAAAAAAAACATCAGGACAGAGAAATAAAAGAAAAGAGCAAATCTGTGGGTCAGTATATTTATTTATGCAGGACAATTTACTGATTATTATGAACTTAAAGGGAACCCTGACAATTTGTAAGATTAGACACTATTTGGTAAACATTTACTCAACTAATCAAAAAAAAAAAAAAGAGTAAAAAAACAACAAAAACAAAAAAACAACAACTGGACTTTCAATTCTAAAGTTGAAGACGTTTCACTTCCCATCCAGGAGGCTTTTTCAATTTAAAGTCTGTAGTGAGCTGAGATGCTGGCTTTAAAATTTACTCAACTAAACATACTGTAGGCTGTTTAGTTTTTCTGGTGCGAGCTCTTATCCACTCTAAAGGTTAATCTTGGACAATATTCGACGATCGGCTCTTTTAAATGAAACCAGAGCGCGTTGACAGAGTGGAGAATGTAGACATGACTCAGGGTGAAACTGAAAATGACGATGAACAGAGCTGCTTCATGGAAGGAGAACGTCAGCTTAGCCTGTTAGCTTTAGCACCCAATGTAGCACAGATATACGGTAGTTAGTTTCCCAAGCTAACAATATGTGTGTGTGTATTAGCYCATGTGCTAACGCTACAGCTAACAGGTTAAGCTGATGTTCTTCCATTCTACGTCGTCATTTACCCAGTATGCTTTGCAGAGATAATGAMATGTTGCYGTCCGTGTGACTATATATATATATAAGGGGTGCAACAATACAGAAAATTCACGATTCGGTTCAATATTTTAGTCTGACGGTTAGATATTTTTTCGATGAAAAAAAAAACAGAAATTTCCATGCCCTTTTTAACTTGTAATTTATTTAAATTAAGTATGAACATTTGTTTAACCTCAAAAGTACAGTTTTAAAATTAAACGT